TCAAACACGGTGATGGTGTCGAAAGCGGAAGGGAAATGGAGGATGTGCATTGATTTTCGCGATCTTAACAAAGCGTGCCCGAAGGATTTATATCCGCTGCCTCGGATCGATCAGCTGGTCGACTCCACAGCCGAGTGTGAGCTACTCAGTTTGATGGACGCGTCCCAGGGTTATCATCAAATCCCGCTGGCTCGTGAGGATTGGAAAAGGGTCAGCTTTGTAACAAGCCGTGGAACATACTGCTATGTGGTGATGCCTTTCGGACTGAAGAATGCGGGGGCAACATATCAGAGGTTGGTGGATAAAATTTTTAAGGAGCAGTTGGGGAGGAACATGGAGGTGTATGTGGATGATATGCTGGTGAAGAGCAAAGAGGAGATCGACCATGTGAACGACTTAAAAGAAACATTCATGACCCTTTGGAAGTATGAGATGAAGCTGAACCCCGCTAAGTGCTCGTTCGGGGTCAAATCTGGAAAATTTTTGGGCTATATGGTCACAAGGAGGGGGATCGAGGTCAACCCAGAGAAAGTGAGGGCGGTAATCGAGATGCAGCCCCCCACGAAGGTGAAGGAAGTGCAGATCTTAACTGGCCGAATAGCAGGCCTGAGTCGTTTTATTTCCAAGGTGGCCGAGAAGAGTGGGCCCTTATTTAAGACACTCCGGAAGAGCTCGAAATTTCAATGGACGGAAGAAGCGCAGAGAGCGTTTGAGGAGTTGAAGAGGATGTTGGTCGATTTGCCTTTATTAGCAAAACCGTTGCAAGGGGAGGACTTGGTGTTATATGTATCCATCGGGGAGACGGCAGTAAGCTCTGTGTTGTTGCGGGAGGAAGGAGCAGCCCAGTTTCCTATTTACTACGTAAGTAAGGTGATGCAAGGGGCGGAAAGGAGATACTCAGAGATCGAAAAGGGGGCTTTGGCGGTGGTGGTTACTGTAAGGAAACTGAGACCATATTTCCTGGAGCATAGGGTGAAGGTCCGAACGAACATGCCATTGGGAGAAACGCTGGGTCGACCCTCCGTGTCGGGGCAGTTAGTTAAATGGGCGGTCGAGTTAAGTGAATACACAATTATCTACGAGCCAAGGAGAGCGATTAAGGCCCAGGCGTTGGCGAACTTTATTCAGGAGGGGACGAAGGAAGGCGAGGAGCTCGAGGGGGTATGGCAAGTATTTGCAGATGGATCGGTGTCGAGGGCTGAAGGTGGCCTAGGCATCGTGCTTATGTCGCCAAGAGCCGATAGCTTGGAGTTCGCAATTAAGGTGGCCTACCATATATCAAACAATGAGGCGGAGTACGAAGCGGTCATTAAAGGACTCAAACTGGCCTTAAGTGGCGGGGCTCGAGCAGTGCAGGTGCATTCAGACTCACAGTTGGTCATGGGCCAATTCCAGGAGGGGTTCGAGGTCCGAGAGGAGAGGATGATGAAGTATGTGGAGGAGATAAAGAAGCTGCAGGGAGAGTTTGATTCATTCGAATTAATCCAAATACCTCGAGGAGAAAATGGTCGAGCAGACCTGTTGGCTAAAATGGCACAAAGTTTGGTGGATTGCAAGAGCAGAAGTGTGACCTTGCTGCACATGGAGAAGAGTGTGGTTGAGAAGGAGGTGGTCGAGATAGAAGAGGTGGAGGACTGGAGGGCGCCGAAAATGAAGGAATTAAAGGGGGGAACTGTTAGAGCGGTAAAGAGATTCTTCGAGCATGGAGGGATCCTATATAAAAGGTCACACGCAGGTCCCCACTTGCGATGCGTAGGCAGAGAAGAGGGGCGATATGTATTGAAAGAAATTCATGAGGGCTGTTGCAGCGACCACAGCAAGGCAGGCTCCTTGGTGGCAAAGGCCCTACGGGCAGGATATTTCTGGCCGACGATGAGAGAAGATGCCAAGGAGATGGTGCGGAAGTGTTTACAATGCCAGAAGCACGGCCCACTCATTCACCAGCCGGCCGAAGCTATGACGACGATGAGTTCTCCCATCCCATTCGCCTAATGGGGAATCGACCTGGTAGGGCCCATGCCCCAAGGGACCGGACAAAGAAAGTTTTTGATTGTGGCGGTCGATTACTTCACGAAGTGGGTGGAAGCCGAGCCCCTGGCAAAGATCACGGAAGAGAAGGTGATACATTTCCTATATGATAACATATGTTGCAGATTTGGAGTTCCCAAGGTGTTGGTGTCAGACAATGGGACCCAGTTCAACGGCAAGCGAATCCAAGCATGGTGTGAGGACATGAAAATCGACCAACACTTCGCTTCGGTCGCACACCCGCAGGCCAATGGGCAAGTGGAGGTAACCAACAGGATCATATTGAGCGGACTGAAAACAAGATTGGACAAGGCATCGGGGGCGTGGGTGGATGAGCTTACTTCGGTGCTGTGGGCGTAAAGAACAACACCCCGATCGACCACTGGGGAAACACCATTTAGCATGGTATACGGCATGGAGGCCCTGTTACCGATAGAGGTCGAAGTTCAGTCCCAAAGGTCGAGCACGTATGATCGAGAACAGAATGAGCACCTGATGCTAGCAGCGCTCGACACGATTGAAGAGCTTCGAGAAAGGGCGACACTCAGGGTTGAGGCGTACAAGCAAAGGATGCGAGCAGCACACGACAAGAAAGTGAAAACGCGGAAATTTCAAGTGGGTGACTTGGTGTGGAAGAGGGTCGATGTGCTGAAACATGTCGGGAAATTAGAGCCTAACTGGGAAG